TGAGGAACCTGTACATAGATCAAGAAGCAATTGTTCCAACAGAACAAGGGGATACTGTGTGGTTTAAAGTCAAGAAAGGTGCATGTCAGGGTTGTATCCTTTCACCATACTTATTCAGTCTGTATGCTGAGCAAATAATCTGAGAAGCTGGACTACGTGAAGAAGAATGTGACATCAGGATTGGTAGGCGACTCATTAACAATGCGCGTTATGCAGATGACGCAACCTCGCTTGCTGAAAGTGAAGAGGACTTGAAGCACTTACTGATGCAGATCAAAGACTATAGCCTTCCTTATGTATTACACTTCAGTATAAAGAAAACAAAAATCCTCACAATTGGACCTATATGCTTATCATGATAATCGGAGAAAAGATTGAAGTTGTCAAGGATTTTATTTTACTTGGATCCACACTGCACACCCACGGAAGCAGCAGTCAAGAAATCAAACGACGCATTGTATTGGGCAAATCTGCTGCAAAAGACCTCTTTAAAGTGGTGAAAAGCAAAGATGTCACTTTAAAGACTAAAGTGGGCCAGACCTAAGCCATGGTTTTTTCAGTTGCACCACATACATGAGAAAGCTTGACGATGAATAAGGAACACCAAAGAAGAATTGATGCCTTTGATTATGATGTTGGTGAAGATTATTAAATATACCATGGACTCCCAAAAGAACAAACAAACCTGTCGTGGAAGAAGTACAGCCAGAGTAGTCCTTAGAAGCAAGGATGGCGAGACTTCATCCCATGTACTTTGGACGTGTTATCAGGAGGTATCAGTCCTTGGAGAAGGACATCATTACTTGGTAAAGTAGAGGATCACGAAAAAGAAGAAGACCCTCAACGAAATGGATTGATGCAGTGGCTGCAGCAATAGGCTCAAGCATAACAATGATCATGAGGATGGTGCAGGACCAGGCAGTGTTTCATTCAGTTGTACATATGGTTGCTATGAGTTGGAACCGACTCGACGGCACCTAACAACAACAACAACGATGACTAATGATGTTAAGTATCATATCATGTGTTTGTTGTCCACTTGTTTATCTCCTCTGGATAATGTCTATTCAAGTTCATTACCTTTTTTTTAAATTGATTTTTTTGTCTATCTGTTGTTGATTTGTTAGAGTACTTTATATATTCTAATATTAAACCCTTACAGATATATGATTTGCAAATATTTTCTTCCATTTTGTAGGTTGCCTTTTCACTCTCTTGATAATGTCCTTTGATGCACAGGTTTTTTATTTTAATGAAGTGTGATTTATATATTTTTTCTTTTGTTGCCTGTGCTTTGGTGTCGTATTCAAGAAACCATTGCCAAATCCAAGGTTATAAAGACTTTACCATAAGCTTTCTTCTAACAGTTTTATAAATGTAGGCCTTTGATCCATTTTGAGTTAACTTTTGTAAGTGGTGTAAGATAAGGGTCCAGCTCATCCTTTTGCATGTGGATATCAGTCTTCCCAGCACCATATATAGTGTTTCATTTTCTTTCAATTCAAAATGATATGTCATTTTCCTTGTGATTTCTTCTTTGACCCCTGGTTTTTTAAGATATTTTTCTATTTTCAAATATTTTGGTTTCCAGTAGCCTTTTTGTTGTTGTTACTGTTAATGATTTAAAATGCAATTCAATTGTGATCAGAGAACATACTTGGTATGATTGCAATCTTTTTTGAAACTTATTTTATGGCTCACCATATGGTCTATCTTGGAGAGCATTTCACGTATGCTTTAAAATAATGTGTATTCTGCTGTTGTTAGATGGAGTGTCCTACAAAATGTCAGTTAGGTCAAGTTGGTTGATATTGTATTTTCTTGCTTCCTGTCTACTTTTTCCATCAATTAATGAAAAGAGTGTTGAAGTTTCCAACTATGTCGATTTGTCTCTTTTTCCTTTCAATTCTGTGTAGAAAATTGGGTTCAAGTTTCTGGTTCATTTGTATACTAAAGGTGTAGCCCTTTGAAGTGCCAGACTTAAAGAGGAGTGAGTCTTTTATTCGGATCCTTACTTTGGTCAGGCTCTGGTGTTTTATATCTGGTCCCCATGCCCTCCTCTTACATCTGAAATGTTATGAAATTGGAAACTGCAGGTAGTTTGCTGCATTTGGCATGTACCTTTCAGGCAAAGTGGCTTTGGAAGTCCCGTTTCCCTACTTTCTTGTCTATACTTTGGTTTTTTCCATGAAAATTCCTTTTTGTAGCAGTTTTATTCCTTTAAGAAGATTAAAATTTTCTTCCAGATTTTTAATTATTTCCTGTGAGTTTGGTCCAAATATCTAACTTGCCAATTGCCAGACAAGCATATAATATCTTATATTCTAAAATGTGACCAAACTGTACTTATTTTTCTGCAATTTTCATTTTGTTCTTATCAGTAAATCCATTGCAGTTATTACAGCACAATGTGCCACACTTTTAAGGATTTGTATTAGTTAGCCAAATGAAGAATGGTGGTGGGAGTGGTGGTGAGAGAGTATGGCAGGCCCTGAAACTGTAAGTGCAAGAACCAGTTTCCATTGCATAGCACAACACCATGGGAGCACTGTGCACATTGTAGTCTAAGTTAATAATGCTCCTTGATGCTCTGTAATGTGAAGCTAAGAAGGTTGAGTTTTATCCACTAGTCTAAGAAGGGAGGGAGGGAGAAGGTAGATGGTGAACAAAAGACTCCATTACTAGAGCAAGGATCCCAGAGCCCCAGGAAGACTATAGAAAAGACTTCTCTTGAGGTCCTCCATGGTCATAAATGCTTCAGGCTCACATAAACAAATTCATGGCCCTAAAGGTGGGTACCTTCTAGGTTTCATCCCAGAGTCTATCTTACCCACATCAGTAATGCTAGGCTAGTGATATCCTTTTTCACCTGGAAGGGAAAAGGAGTCAGTCTCTTAAACCGGCCAAATCATTTTATGTGATTCAACCTCTTATCCCCAGGAATGTTGAAATACTTACGAATCTGGTGTTCTTGGGAGAACTGCCTCCTGAGGCCAAGCCCCCTGAAAACGTGCTTGCTAATGCAACCTCCATGTTCACCACTTGGCTCAACAGCCTTCCCCATTCTGTCAAGAAGATGGTCCTCAGCAAGGTGTCTGATTGCAACATACAGGATCAGCTTTTGCAGGTCAGTAAAGGTAACTGAGGGGGGCACCTAGAGTTCCTTAGAGTTTTTTATACAACAGAAACTTTAGCTCTTATTAGCACCAGAAAACATCCCAGAAGCACCAGGATAACCTGCAGTCCTGGTAGTGCAAAGACCTACAGAATGCCCTTTCCTGGATAGTGCTAGGTATATTGGTTTTCCATGTTAGGGGGTCAGCCTGGAGAATTGATTTTCTCAGTGACCTGGGGCTTTCAGGGAGTTTTCCAGGAAACATAGACTGTATCTTTGGCTATATTTTTCTGAACTTTCTTCCTTTACAGGTTAAGGAAGGCTCAAGCTTTGTATTCCTGGCCTTCATTGAAGCCATGTCGTTCATTCCTGGGTCGGCCTTCTGGTCCATCCTCTTCTTCCTGACGTTCCTGACCCTAGGACTGTCTGCCGTGATAGGGGTCATGCAGGGAATCATTACCCCACTTCAGGACAGCTTCTCTTTCTTCAGGAAACATCCAAAGCTTCTCATAGGTATTCTGACCTGTCATCCTATTCCCCCCTAAAGCCCTGATTCCACTAAGATTTTTACCCAGCCCTGGTCTATGACCTCTGCTTAGCCCTTGTCACCCAGCCAGACCTCTGACTTTGATCCAAAACCAATGTTTTCTCCAGTGAATGTCTCTGTGCTCATGTTCCTGTGCAGCCTCTTCTTCGCTCGGCCTTCAGGCTACTACTTCTTCAGACTGCTGAGTGACTACTGGATAATCCCTCCCATCGTCCTCCTCACCACTTTTGAAAACGTGACTATAGCCTGGGTCTATGGGGCCAAGAGGTGATGTCCTGGCCCAAGTTTTTCACTAAGCTTGGATCTGTAGGGAAAGTTGACCCCTTTCTGGTTGCCTCTACCCTCACCCAACCAGAATGACATAGTCATAGACCCTTGACTTCAGGGTCTTCTGGGAAACCTTTGTGTTCATTCATTCATTTAATATATTAATTAGGTGCTCAATACATGCCAAGCACTGTTTTAGTCACTGGGGATGCAACACTAAATAAAATAAGCATCTCTGCCCTCATGGAGCTTACATTCTGATGTTGGAGAGAGATAATAACCAAATGAAAACAAAAAATAAAAATGTCCAGTGCTCATAAGTGACAGGAGGAAATCAAACGGTAAGGTAGATGATGAAGAGTGGCAGTATGTGTGGGTGCTAATTTAGTTAGAACTGCTGGGAAGGCCTCTCTTATAAAGTGACATTTGAGGGGACTCTTGAATGAAATGAGGGAGGGAGCCATGAGAAGATTTTGAGAAAGAGTGCTCCAAGCAGAGGAGACAGCAAGTATTAAGGCCCAGGGGAAGCATCATGCTTGGAGTTTTTGAGGAACAAGGAAGTCAGAGAGGCTGAAATAGAGTGAGTGAGGAGAAGAATGTTAGGAGATGTGGCCAGAGAGGTAATAGGGGCCAGATCATGTAGGGCCTTGTAAGCTTTTTTACAGAACGAAAAAGGAAGCACTGGAGGATTTTGAGTAGGGAAGAGACATTATTATATTATTATTTTTTTAAGATTCCTATGTCTGCTGTGTGAAGAATGGACTATGAGTTTTCGAGAGTGAAGCAAGGGGAACAGTTAGGAGCTATTGTAATATTGCAAGTGAGAGCTAATAATTGCTTGGGTTGGGAGGTTAGAGGTGTAGGTAGAGAGAAGGGGTACAATTCTGTATACATTTTGAAGGCAGAGCTGACAAGGAAGAGGGAACAAGATAATCAGGGACTGGGGCGTAGGAGAGAGAACTGTGCAATGGAAGAATGGGAGATTCCAAAATAACACCAGGGACTCTCAAGCCTGGCTTTTTACCAGGCTACTATGGACATCCAAGTGGTATAAGTCAAGGGTAGAAGGCTCAGGTGGCAGCATTTTCAGGTGATAATGGTTCTTGGAATCAGTTCACTAATTTATTAATCACTCAAAAGACACCTCTTAAGACTTCTTCTGTGTCAAGAAAGCCCTGTTATCCTGGGATAGGAGTGAATTAGATTTGATTCCTCCTCTCCAAGAGCACAGAATCCAAAGAGGAAGACCTATGTAAGCAGAAAATTCTAGTACAGAGTGCTAAGTCTATAATAGAGGTATCTGGGGCAGTGTGTGGGACACAGATGTTTAAATAAGGACAAATGGAAAGTCAAGGAAGGCATCTTAGAGGAGGGGATGCTTGTGCAGACTCAAGCAGAGAAAGAGAAAGAAAGGGAGGAGGACGTTCTCAGCCAAAGGACCCTACTTGTATATTTATTGAGATTGAGAAAGTGTACGTAAAGGAAGCTGCATATGTAGGCTCAAAAAAATTAAGATAAGCTCTCTGAAGGCAGAGTGTAATTGTTTTTGTCTCTCTTGCTTACTGCTGGATACCCAGCACCTAGAAGAGTTCCTGACACATCATAGACATTCTCACATTCATGGAATGAGTGAAAGGAACTTGGGCTTTAACCTGAGGGCATTGTGTATCCATGGAAGGTTCTTGACCAGTAGAGGAATGTTTGAAAAACCTACTTGGGTTGGGTTGGAGGACAGACTGACTAGGGAGATGAGAGATGAGACTTAAGGTGGGGCAGGGGTTGAAGGTAAAATACAATGTTTGAAAGATTTTAAGGCCAGACTGGCCCTTACCCCAAGGCTGGGTAAGGTCTGACTGGCCTCCCACAGTCTTGTGGCTCTTCCTCCCAGGTTTGTTGCAGAGATGATGATCCTCATGGGCCGCCCTATCTCTCCCATCTGTTGTTTCCTGTTGTGCTGTCTGTGTCCCTTTGTGCTGCTAGCCCTGTCTGTAATCACCTTGATTTACATATATGTGCAGGACTTCATCTACTTGGCCTGGGACTCAAGCACTGTGAGCCTCCCTCCCCAGGCCCCAAAACCCCTAGGGAGTGGGGACTTGCCCTTTCAATCCACTCTTGGCCTAAGGACCCAGTTATGTCATTCTCTGACTCCCTGAAGACTCATCAGTTTTCTGCCCTGGTTCCCCTGCTGCTCCACAGTCCTTCCTCTTTTGGGAACTTCAATGTTCTGAACTCCTTTCTTATCTCTCCACAGTCAAAAGTAGTGCCTCGAGAATTCCCATCATGGGCACGCAGCTTGATAATCATCTTAGATGTCATTGTCTTCCTACCCATCCTTATATACTTTCTACACTGCCTCATCCGTAAGATCCCCATCAGCAACATCACCTTCAATATGCCTGTTATAGCCTCCAAATCTCTAACCCTAAGGAGCCATCTAAGGTCCAATAAAGATCTCCCTAATGAGGAAATCCTGCAAGATGACAAAAAAATTGCCGATCAACCTGTTGTGTGATTTCCTAACAAGTGGTAGTAACTTCATTCATTCGGCCTGACATCACACATCATCCAAAGCTGATCTAACAGGCAATTCTTAACAACAGCTTGTAACTGTTGATATCCCTGGACCCAGAACCCCTTTTATTCCCAGAGTTGGGGGCATTTGGGGGAGGGGGTCATGGAGCCTGACTTTGCTGCCCCCTCCTAAGCCCCATCCTCCCTGGTTACCACTGTGATTGTATTTGCTCCATCCCTTTCCTCAGTATATACCATGTACAACTTATATACACTGTTGGTGATGACTACTGAACCTGCTTCTTCTGGTCTGTCCATCTGCTGGAATGGGACTGGAGGAGTCATGCTGTTGGTCAATAAATCAGTCCACTGGGACCCCAAGCAGTGGGTGTGTGCAGACTTTTTTTAAAATAAGTGTCCCAGGTGTTCAGTCTCTGTCTCTCCCTCTAGGCTTCTATTCTTTCAAGAGCCAAACTTCCAATCCTGATTGCCTGCATATTCCTTGCCTTGGCAAATTCCTGCTAGATGACTAAATTTGCCTTACCCACGTCTAGGCCTTCAGCCGTGTTGGAAAAGACTTGCCCAGGAAATGCTAGCTTCATCAAAGGTGGAAAGGATATAAATGTGCTTACTAATGGGACATGGCAATTCTGTCATGAATCTAAACATGATTTTTATAAAGAAGGTGCGTCAGTGGTTTCAGTACTGTTTTGTGGACAAAATGCTTCTGTGAACTCATGCACAAGTATTTGGGAAACTACCAAGTTATATTGCTGAGTTAATCAAGAGTCTATGTCCGCTTGGTAAGAGACATCACTAGTTTTACCACCGGGCTAAATCAAATGAATTTGCCTAGTAGATGATAACTGGGTCTCTTGGAACTTGTGGAAGGAGTGGCTCCATAATGGAGCTGAAGTACCACCCATAGGGGATGGAGTCAGCCAGTTATCCACTGGGGCTGAGGGCTGTGAGTAGATTGTTGGGATTCCTGAAGAACCAGGGAATAGGTTTCCCTTAAATGCTGAGGTGACAGGATTTTGGATTGCTTAGCACTCACGGGGAGGGTGCTCCCTGGGTAAGTTTCTGTGAGAAAAGAAGAAAAAGAAGACATCCCCAACTTATCCGTGATTGGGACTTGAGGGGTGGTCTGGCGAATGAAAAGAGGGGCAGTCCTAGACACCTCTGGACCTCTGAAGTCTCTGGCTCTTCAAGCTTGAAGATTGGAGGAGCTGGAAGGGGCGTAACCTGTAGCCCCGCCCCCTCACAGTCCCTTCCCCCACCTCAATCAACGATCTTTCGATCTTCCGGCTTGAAGTTTCCCACTGTTGAGTCGGGTAAGGTGAGGAATGGAGATAGGCAGCTGTCGTCTTTTCCCCATGATCAAGTAGCCTGGGTGTTTAACCTCTTTCCTTTTGGTAACCCAGTCGCTGATCCCCCTTTATGCCTCTACTTTCAGCTTTAGGGATGGAACCAGTGGGAGGGGGATTGAACAGTAGAGTTTACCAAGTAAACCGATGGAATGAGGACCTCGAAATACGTGTCTCCTTCTCCAACTCTGAATTTTTCTCTCCTCAGATCACTTGCTGAATGTCCTAAGGCATCTAAGCGCTAGCTAGTTTGATTTGGAGTCTAGCAGTTATCAGATATCCCACATTGCTGCTGTAGGGGGCTGTGATTGAGAGATAGGAACACTAGTCTCTATTGTAGGTACCTCTTCTCTTCATAGCTCTGGAGGGTCTTTATTGTCTCAAGTCGGGTTTCTAGCACCCTTGGGTGTGATCAGAGGATTTTCTTTTGGACTGCCATTGGGAATCCCTGGCCTTGTTAGAGAAAAATGGAGCCAAGTCCCTTGCAAGAGCTTCTGTAAAAATGGCATGAAGGGGGTGTGTGACCTCCTCTAACTTCACAAGGGGGAAAGAGAATCAAGATCGACAGCCCAAGGCTGATTCCTATAAGGTGGAGGTCAGACATGTCTCTTCTGTCTGCCATCTTTGCCAGTTCTAACACCAACTGTCGCTCCCACGGCACTCTCTGCCAAGTTCAGTAAGTCATTGCAGTGACCACACAGAACTCACAGACCATATTCACAATTATGGGGTTTATTGGAGAAGTAACACGTTACATACAGTTCAGATTCAGGAACACTCAGAATACAATTCTTCCATCAGGACAGCCTCTTCCTAGCCTTACTCGCAGGCAGACCTCTCTCTGGTGTTCGACTTCTACCCTGCTCAGGCAAGTGTTACCAAGCTCTTTTAGCTCTGCTGATAAGTGTCCCGAGGCACCCTACTCCACCTGTAAGCCTCGGCCTGAATGCCCTCAGCTTTCTCTGTCCGTGGGCCGGGAAGCCCAATGTGCCGTCTCCTGCCAGTCTCTCCTGCAGCTATTTCTCTGCCACAGCTTCTCACCATCTTCAGTGTTACAACTCTCTCTCTCTCTCTCTGTTTCCTGGTTCTAGGAGCTTCTCAGTACAGGCATCCCAGGTCCAAAGGACACGCTCCACTCCTGGCTCTTTTTTCTTGGTAGTGGTGAGATCCTGTCCTCCTGCCTCTGGGATGGCTAATTTTAAGCTTAGTGGGATGGCAATACTGACCAATCCCCTCATTAGGTTCCATAGACCTTATTTGCCTGGTCTCACCCCTACACGGGTGCCATGAACTTTATTTGCATTATTAGCAAGCTATCCAATCCCTTTAGTGGGTCACAATTACCTTATTTGTATACAAGACAATGGTGAGAAAGGCCATACAAAAGCAATCCATTGCACCGCAGCATGCTTACATACGTCTTCACTTTTATTCCTCAGAAGAATAGTGTGACATATAGCCCTTTATTTACCAGTTTAAAAAATGAGCTCACTACCTAATACCCTCCAAAGGTGATTGTTGAGGGTTTTTTTTTGTTTTTAGTATCTGTATGAACATGTAGATTTCAATATATTTGATGTGTTCCTGTTTGTTGCAGCGATTCCTATTGATGCTCAAATCCTCTCATCTTTGGCTAGTGGGAGCCTCTTCACGTTAATTCCTGAGTCCTTTTGACAAGACCCCAGTAGTCTTTAATAATTTCCTTGCTTTCTTATGTGACGGTATGGTCTTGGATTAACTTGTACATTTCACACCCCAGACCTAAAGTCAGCTAGTTTTCCATATGTATTCCTTTTAATGGGAAGTGATATTTAGACACCACAATTTTGTGCTTAGGGGCGTTCATTGCTACTGCATTGGTCATTGTTTCTAGGTCTTTTCAAAAATTAAAACTAGAAGAAGACATTCAGGCAGCTAACAGACACATGAGGAAATGCTCACAACCATTAGCCATTAGAGAAAAGTAAATCAAAACTACAAGGGGATACCATCTCACCCCAACAAGGCTGGCACTAATCAAAAAAAACACAAAATAATAAATGTTGGAGAGGTTCTGGAGAGACTGGAACACTTACACACTGCTGGTGGGAATGTAAAATGGTACAACCACTTTGGAAAACGATTTGGCACCTCTTTAAAAAGCTAGAAATAGAAGAACCATACGATCCAGCAATCCCAATCCTGGGAATATATCCTGGAGAAATAAGAGCCGTCACACAAATAGATATATGCACACCCATGCTCATTGCAGCATTGTTCACAACAGCAAAAAGATGGAAACAACCTAGGTGCCCATCAACAGACAAATGGATAAACAAATTACGGTGCATACACACAATGGAATACTATGCAGTGATAAAGAACAATGATGACTCCATGAAACATCTGACGACATAGATGAATCTGGAGGACATTATGCTGAGTGAAATCAGTCAGTCACAAATGGACAAATATTGTATGAGACTACTATTATAAGAACTCAAGAAAAGGTTTAAACACAGAAAAAAAAAGCATTCTTTGATGGTTACGAGGGTGGGGAGGGAGGGAAAGGGGAATTCACTTACTAGATAGTAGACAATGGTCAACTTGGCTGAAGGGAAGGATAACACACAATACAGGGGAAGTCAGCACAACTGGACTAAACCAAAAGCTAAGAAGTATCCTGGACACATCCAAATACCTTGAGGGACGGACTAGCTGGGGCTGGGGCCTAGGGACCATAGTTTCGGGGGACATCTAGGTCAGCTGGCATAACAAAGCTTATTAAGAAAATGTTCTGCATCTCACTTTGGTGAGTGGTGTCTAGGGTCTCAAAACCTTGCAAGCGGCCATATAAGATACATCAGTTGGCCCCATCCTACTTGGAGCAAAGAGAATGAAGACCAAAGACACAAGGAAAATATTATCCCAAGAGACTAAAGGTCCACATAAACGAGAGACTCTACCCGCCTGAGACCAGAAGAACTAGATGGTGCCACCAATGACTGCCCTGACAGGGAACCCAACAGAGAGTCCTGGACGGAGTGGGAGAAAAGTGTGGAGCAGAGCTCAAATTCACATAAAAAGACCAGACTTGATGTTCTGATAGAGACTGGAGGAACCCCTGAAACTATGTCACCCAGATGCTCTGTCAACCCAGAACTGAGACCATTCCCAAAGCCCACTCTTCAGACAAGGATTAGAGAGGACTATAAAATAAAAAATAATACACCTGAGGAGCGTGCTTCTTAGTTCAATCAGATACACGAAACCAAATGGTCAACTCCTGTCTGGAGGCAGGATGAGAAGGCGGGAAGGGACAGGAACTGGTTGAATTGACACAGGGATCCCGGAGTGGAAAGAGGGAGTATGCTGCCACATTACGGGGTTTGCAACTAATGTCACAAAACAATATGTGTATAAATTTTTGTATGAGAAATTAACTTGAGCTGTAAACTTTCACCTAAAGAACAAAAAAAAGACCCTAGGAAATTTTCCTAAGATAAAATGTACCATAAATTCATACTCATTCTTTCAGTTAAAATCTGGGGTTTTTACTAAAGAATTTTTACTTACATTATATCTTTTTTTCTCTCATGTGATGGAGGCTGTTAATGTTTGTTTCTCAAGTAGAAGTTTGTGCCCTCAAGCCCTC